AACGGTGGTTTCTCTTTGAAGCAGGACAAGATGAGAGCAGAGAACACCAGAGCAAAATGGATGTAGAAGGTGGTGAAGCGGAAGGGATCTGAGATCCTGCCCTGGGAGGAGAAGGGAAAAGAGTATCAGAAGTACCCGGAGGTGGCACCCGTAGCTCAGCAGGTAGGGCGCCAGCCACATACATGCAAGTTGGCGGGTTCGAACCCAGCCTGGACCAGCTAAAATACCAATGACAACTGGTGGCAACAAAAAAATAGCCAGGTGTGTGGTCGGCACCTGTAGTCCCAGCTACTTGGGAGGCTGAGGCAAGAGAATTGCTTAAGCCCAAGAGTTTGAGATTGCTATGAGCTGTGATGCCATGGCACTCTACCGAGGGTGACATAGTGAGACTCTGTCTCAAAGAAAAAAAAAAAGAAAAGAAAAAGAAATACTGGGGAGCCTGGGCCTAGCCCTGCCCTGGAAAGAGACCTGGGTGTTAGCTCCCCTAGGTAGGAGGCATAACCCAGAAAATCCTAGGAGATGGGGAAGGACCACAGGGGCTGGGGTTCAGTGAGGACTTGCCCTGGGTCAGGCATTGTGCCAGCACTTGACATTCATGGCCTCATCTAATTGGGTGTCTCAACACACCCATTCTGTAGTTGAGGAAATGAAACTCCAAAGGGTTAAACAACAGGCCCAGGATCACACAGTCTTGCTCAACTTACCTCTGCCTTGGCTAAAAGGATCTTGGAGCGAAAGGGGACGATGGCACAGACCACACACAGGAACCAGAAGATAATGAGGATCCCTGAGGACTGTACCCCCTGTAGCCGCTCATACTGGATCAGCAAGGTGGCCAACAGCTGTGCAGGGAAGGCAGGGAGGCCCAGGCAGAGCACACACATCTGGACCTGCTTCCTTCCTTCCCCATCCACCCTCACCCTTTTCCCACCCCCAAGGTATCCAGCCTTCTCCACAGAGCCCATGGTTCTTCCATCACAACCCACACCCCAGGTCCCCGTCCAGCATCCTGGGCCCCACACTGACCATGGTGATCCCCACCACCAGGGGGGTGACAAAGAAGACGGGGGCAGGAGCCCAGCCGTGAACCAGGCCATGGAAAGAGTAAAATAGGTCCGCCCAGGACACACACCACAGCAGGATGCCGAGGACCTATGGAAAGGGCACAGGTTGGAGCCCCATCCCTAGAGGCAGAAATAGTCCTGCTGGGGTGGGGTCTTTGCATGTGAAGCCACTAGACTTGCTTGGGCCTGGCCCGTAGGGCTGAGAAGGGTACTGGTCAGAAGTTTCCTGGGAGTAGGGAGAGCACTGCTGAACTTGCTTGAACTTTCCCAAGCAAGGAATATCTCAGCTGGCTGTAGGAACATTTGACTGGCTGCCATGTCACCGAGATGCAGGACAGGTGAGGCTGGGGAAATTTGTCCAGTTGAGGAGGCTGAGGGGGGAGGGGCTCATTAAAAGCAGAATCCCCCAGTCCCAGCCCAACTCATAAGAGACCCTGAGCCCCTAACCGTCTTGAGCCTGGACAGGCGGGAGAGGACGATGTAGCCACTGTGGTGGTGCCGTAGGTAGAACAGGTAGCAGGGCAGCACAGCCCATAGGTAGATGCTGGGGATCCAGGCCAGCAGGGAGTTCTGGAAGCAGGGAGTGAGGTCCGGGTCGTCTGTGTACACAGATAGGTTGGAGTCCTGGGGATGGAGAGGGGAATTCAGTGCTGTGGCATCCTCCCAGAGAGATGATTGGGTCAAACAGATGCTCCATCCAAGACAGGGGTGGGGTGGAAGATAGGTAAGGAGGACAGAGCCTACATACGCAGATGAACAGGTGCTGGTGCTGAGTGGGAGCTCTCCATGGAGAACACGGCTTCCCCCATTGCATATGTTTTCCCTCTGTCTAAGTGAGGTACCATTTAAGAGGAAGAAAACTGCACCAGTGTAAATTGTAAAATTTAATGAGTTTTGATAGTTGTATATACCTGCAAAACCACTGCCATAATAAAGATATGGACTATTTTCATCATTCTGAAAGTTATCTTCTTCTCCTTTGCATTCATCCCTCCCTCAAACTCTTGGGCTTAAGCAATTCTCTTGCCTCAGTCTCCCAAGTAGCTGGGACTACAGGCACCGCCACAATGCCTAGCTATTTTTTTGTGATAGTTGTCATTGTTGTTTAGCAGGCCTGGACAGGTTCGAACCCACCAGCCCAGGTGTATGTGGCTGGCGCCCTAACAACCGAGCTATGGGCACCTCATCTGCATTTTTTCATTCTAGAGTCCTACTCTTTAAAAAAAAAAAAAAAACTTAAAAAATGTCATCAAATTAATATATGCATATGGTTTAAAAGCCTACTTCCTCTTTCTTTCTGAGACAGTCTCATTTTGTTCTTGGTAGAGTGCGTGCCACAATAGCTCACAGCAACCTCAAACTCTTGGGCTCAAGCAATTCTCTTGTCTTAGCCTCCTGAGTAGCTGGGACTGCAGGCACCTGCCACCATGCCCAGCTATTTTTTAGAGATGGGGTCTTCATGGGGTTTGCACCAGCTCAGGCTGGCCTTGAACTCCTGAGCTCAGGTGACCCACTTGCCTTGGCCTCCCAGAGTGCTAGCCTACTTGCTCTTAAGGTCTCTCCCTTAAAGGATAAGGAATAAGGAGCTACCCTGTGTCCTAGTTCCCTCTCCTTTCTAAATGAGTGGCTCACCTAACTCACTGAGTGGGTGTGAGTCTCATAGGGAAAAGGTGATATGGACAGATTGTTGCACATTACACAGTGTAGGGTGATCAACTATCCCAGTTTGGGCAGGACTGTTCTGGTTGTAGTACTAAAAGTCTGATGTCTTGGGAAAATGCTTAGTCTTGGACAAACCGGAATGGTTGATTACCCTACTGGTATCTGACAAGATTATCTCTTACCTTTACCTATAATTATAACTTCAGAATCCTTTTGGAAAGAGATGGGGGAATTAATTCATTAAGAAATATGTTTTACTGAAATTGTTTCCTCCAAGCCACTAACATACTAATCTCTTTTTTTTCTGCTTAAAATGCATTAGTTTTTTTTTTTAACAGAAAGCTCAGAAAATATAAACAGTAAGAAATACCACCTACAATCTCATCCCCCTCAGAGACAACTGTTATCTGAGGCTGTAACTACCTACCTCTGAACTGCCCATGTAAAAGATTACCATTTTTATTTTTATCAATGTTATTCATGTGCACATATTTTCTGATTTTCCTTTTTCCTGATTATTTTGTTTTTGTTTTTATTTATGATTTTCAAGTTGGAGGTATTAAGTTAAATTTAGCCTAAAGCTGCCTTCTTATGTAGCAAACTGTAACCTAACTTAATATGTAAACAAATTGCAACCTTATATTAAGTAGATGAATCTCAGGCAATCATAATGGCCAAGCTTTCAGCCAATCACAGGCTGAAAACTGTTCAGAATGGCCCCATAGAAGGCAAATATCATGTGGTGACCAATGAGGCTATTTCTTTATATCATAATTCTTTTTCTGTCTAAAAATACTACTTGCCCACATAGCTGGGTGGTGCTCTCTCAACCTTATTGGCTCAGGCTGCTTCTTGATTCATGAATTTTTTTTTGTTCAAATATATTCTATTAAATTAAATTTGTTTAAAAATGTCTTTTTAACAGATTGGTGTCAGAAGTGGGATCTGAAGTAAAAAATCCAGCAATCCTCAGAAGCATTGAATAATCAAATAAAGGTACCTGTCAGGTTGTGGGTGAGTTCTCTCTTGGGTTCCAAACTCCAACAATTTGTGTTTCTTGAGTAATTCTTGGACAGGGCTGGGTCCAGAATCAAATCAGATTCAATAATTAACTGAATTGGATTCAGTTAGGAGCCTGAGGAATTACCTTTTGAAAATGGGTTCCTCCAAATCTAAGGAATCTGGCTAACTCTATGCACAAAATTTAAGGGCGTAGAAGCTGTGTATTTTGGGGAGAAAGGGTTAACTTTACCAAGGACAATTTAAAATTACAGCAGTCACAGTGGGGAAGTTTTGACCCAGATAAAACTGTTCACTTTGTAAAGCACATTAGGAAAAAAAAGGATCCAAATGCCATAAAAGCAATGGGATATATTCTTTAATTGGTATGCAGAGGAATCTAAAGGAGTGAATAAATTTAAAAAATTCCTCTTTATAAGGTTCTTTTCAAAAAGCAAAGGAAAAAGGAAAACTTAAAAGTCTTTTTCAACAAATACTATTTAAAAGCTTTAGCCATCTGGTCAGGAAATCTTGTTTCATTAGCCAGAGAAACAATTTGAATACAGATATTCTTTAATAAATCAGTGAGTTTTATATTATTACACCTGGCTTATGGCTAAAATTTTTACATGAAATTTCTGTTTATATGTTTATGTATGTCTGCATGTAAGATATATGTTTGATAGTTTTCTGTCTCCTTATGATACATGGGTC